TGATTGGGTTTCACCGCTCCTCCATCACAAGTAGACATGTGCACAGGCCAAAAATGTGTTTTGTTTCGTTTTCATTTGGATTTTCCGTTATATTGTTTTCGGGATTCGGGCTTCAAACTCAATTTGTTTCGGGATTCGGAAGAAATTTGTTAGCTCCCCCCAAAAGCCATCCCAAGCCCTTTAGGGCATAACATCATCGTCCGCCCCTTCCTGCCCTGCCTGTGCTTGGACCAAGGGTCTAGTAGGAATTTTAGGGGGGACCCCATGTTTTTTCCCCCATTTTTGGGGGGTGGGATTCCCCCTTAAAATTCCTACCAGGCCTAAAGGGTCTGGTATGGCTTTTGTTGGGAATCCCAAGCACTTTTTTTTTATTTTATTTCGTTATCGGAAATTCGGATTCGTTTTCATTCGTCATTTCCGTAATTCGAAAATTCGGGTGTATCCGAATATCTGAATTTCCAAAAATTCGTCTGAATAACGTATCTTCCCAAAACGAATCGCACACGTCTAATCACAAGGCAAGTCTGATTTTAATAAAAAACCAATGGGTTAACTGAGCTGAGCTTATCTCCACAGCCATTAAGCAGGAACGCAAATCCCGTTCCCCGATCCTCAGACCGCCACTAGAGGGATCATTCCAAATCTGAAACCTAAAACGCAATAAAGTTGAGAAGTACATTGAGATGTGATAAGGCACGTCCAAACTTACAAGAAGATAAATAAAAACTCAAAATGTGGACTCAGAGATACAGAATTAGACTATAGTTTCCCTTTATTAAAACTCTTCTGTAGAAAGGGGCGGGAGAAGTAAAAAAATGGCACCAATACACCCAGTTACAGTGTAAAAAGCCCCCCCAAAAAATGTTTCCCTAGTTTTGTATAGAGTGGGGAAGGATTAGGACTCCTGTGAAGTTTTACTGCTACCGTTACAGAGATTTACCCTGACATCCTGTTGTGCTGGCAGCGATTTCCCAGACAGGAAATGCAGAAAAATCTGTCATAAGGTCACATACAGAGATTAAAATCTGGAAGGGGTTGTAGTCTTCCCCCACTCTACTAAAGAAAATTATTTTATTTCTGCCTGTGGTGCTGCTGGAGAGTTCGACTCACTTCTAAATGTTGAAATGTATTCTGAAGAACAGGAAGTGAGAATAAATCTCTCTATCGGAGTCCCAGAGAGCAGTTTGAAAACCTCACTAGTGTTCTAACCCTTCTTCACGCTATTCAAAACTAAGAAAACAATTTTGGCTTGACATGCACTTTAAATGTAGCCAGCAGCAAGAGGAGGTGTGCTATCAGGAGTTGCTGAGTGTCTAGCAGTTAGCTGCAGGGAAGCTAACTATCAGTAATCATAATTACTATCAGTAATCAATCTCCTGCAGCTTCCAGTAGCTAACAGCATGAGGAGCTGTTATATGCATAAGAAATTACCTTCAGTTTCAAGTATCCAGCAGTAGGGGGAGCTATTGCGTAAGGGAGCAATCACCTTAATGTTCTGGTATCCAGCAGAAGTGGGAGCTGTTACATCAGGGAGCAATCACCCCCAGTTTCCTGTATCCAGCAGCAGGTCGAGCTTGTAGGCAGCAGTAGGGGGAGCTGTTACATCAGGGAGCAATCACCCCCAGTTTCCTGTATCCAGCAGCAGGTCGAGCTTGTAGGCAGCAGTAGGGGGAGCTGTTACATCAGGGAGCAATCACCCCCAGTTTCCTGTATCCAGCAGCAGGTCGAGCTTGTAGGCAGCAGTAGGGGGAGCTGTTACATCAGGGAGCAATCACCCCCAGTTTCCTGTATCCAGCAGCAGGTCGAGCTTGTAGGCAGCAGTAGGGGGAGCTGTTACATCAGGGAGCAATCACCCCCAGTTTCCTGTATCCAGCAGCAGGTCGAGCTTGTAGGCAGCAGTAGGGGGAGCTGTTACATCAGGGAGCAATCACCCCCAGTTTCCTGTATCCAGCAGCAGGTCGAGCTTGTAGGCAGCAGTAGGGGGAGCTGTTACATCAGGGAGCAATCACCCCCAGTTTCCTGTATCCAGCAGCAGGTCGAGCTTGTAGGCAGCAGTAGGGGGAGCTGTTACATCAGGGAGCAATCACCCCCAGTTTCCTGTATCCAGCAGCAGGTCGAGCTTGTAGGCAGCAGTAGGGGGAGCTGTTACATCAGGGAGCAATCACCCCCAGTTTCCTGTATCCAGCAGCAGGTCGAGCTTGTAGGCAGCAGTAGGGGGAGCTGTTACATCAGGGAGCAATCACCCCCAGTTTCCTGTATCCAGCAGCAGGTCGAGCTTGTAGGCAGCAGTAGGGGGAGCTGTTACATCAGGGAGCAATCACCCCCAGTTTCCTGTATCCAGCAGCAGGTCGAGCTTGTAGGCAGCAGTAGGGGGAGCTGTTACATCAGGGAGCAATCACCCCCAGTTTCCTGTATCCAGCAGCAGGTCGAGCTTGTAGGCAGCAGTAGGGGGAGCTGTTACATCAGGGAGCAATCACCCCCAGTTTCCTGTATCCAGCAGCAGGTCGAGCTTGTAGGCAGCAGTAGGGGGAGCTGTTACATCAGGGAGCAATCACCCCCAGTTTCCTGTATCCAGCAGCAGGTCGAGCTTGTAGGCAGCAGTAGGGGGAGCTGTTACATCAGGGAGCAATCACCCCCAGTTTCCTGTATCCAGCAGCAGGTCGAGCTTGTAGGCAGCAGTAGGGGGAGCTGTTACATCAGGGAGCAATCACCCCCAGTTTCCTGTATCCAGCAGCAGGTCGAGCTTGTAGGCAGCAGTAGGGGGAGCTGTTACATCAGGGAGCAATCACCCCCAGTTTCCTGTATCCAGCAGCAGGTCGAGCTTGTAGGCAGCAGTAGGGGGAGCTGTTACATCAGGGAGCAATCACCCCCAGTTTCCTGTATCCAGCAGTAGGCGGAGCTGGTATGCAGCAGTAGGGAGAGCTGTTACATCAGGGAGCAATCTCTTCTAGATTCCAATATCCAGAAGTAGGGTGAGCTGTTGGGTCAGGGGCGATCATCTTCAGTTTCCAGTATCCATCAGCAGCAAAGCTGTTGCATGAAGAAGCAATCACCTCTAGATTCCAGTATCTAGAGTAGAGGGAGCCGTTGTGCCATTAGAAATCAACTACAGTATCCAGCAGCAGGGGAACTTTTGCATTAGGGAGCAATCACCTCCAGATGCCAGTATCCAGCCATAGTTCCCAGTATCTAGCAGCAGAAGGAGCTGTTATGCCAAGAGCAATCACGTTTAGTTTCCAGTACCCAGCAGCAGGGGGAGCTGTTGTGCCAGGAGCAATCACCTTTAGTTTGCAGTATCTAGCAGCAGGGGAGCTATTGTTCTAGAAGCAATCACTTTTAGTTTCCAGTACCCAGCAGCAGGGGGAGCTGTTATGCCAGGAGCAATCACCTTTCATTCCAAGTATCTAGCAGGAGGAGCTGTTATGCCAGGAGCAATCACCTTTCATTCCAAGTATCTAGCAGCGGGAGCTGTTGTGCCAGGAGCAATCACCTTTAGTTTGCAGTATCTAGCAGCAGGGGGAGCTATTGTTCTAGAAGCAATCACCTTTAGTTTCCAGTACCCAGCAACAAGGGGGAGCTGTTGTGAAAGGAGCAATCACCCATAGTTTCCAGTATCTTGCAGCAGGGGGAGCTGTTGTGAAAGGAGCAATCACCCATAGTTTCCAGTATCTTGCAGCAGGGGGAGCTGTTGTGAAAGGAGCAATCACCCATAGTTTCCAGTATCTTGCAGCAGGGGGAGCTGTTGTGCCTGGAGCAATCACCTTTAGTTCCAGGTATCTAGCAGCAGGGGGAGCTATTGTTCCAGAAGCAATCACCTTTAGTTTCCAGTACCCAGTAGCAGGGGGAGCTGTTGTGCCAGGAGCAATCATCTTTAATTTACACTATCAAGCAGCAGGGGGAGCTGTTTCTTCAGGGAGCAATTACATCTAGATCCCAATATATGGACATAGCTGGAGCTGTTGTGCCAAGAGCAATCACCTTTAGTTTCCAGTATCCAACACCAGGGCCACTGAATTAAGAGAAATCACCTTCCAGTAGCCAACAGCAGGGGGAGCTGTTGTGTCAGGAACAATCATCATCAGTTTCCAGTGCCCAGCAGCAGGGGGAGCCCTTGCTAAGCCTATATCAATTCAGTTTAAAGTATACCTGTAACCCATTAGAAGTTGACATCTGTTGCTGGGGGTCACAGCATGGTGAAATATACACAGACAACCATGGAACAGTTCGGTTACACTAGTTTACACTTGAATTTTTTTAACTTTTTACAGGAGACTCAGCACACGGGGTGTTCAGTATTTTGCAGAATAATTGTATTGTAAGCTAACTGGAACAACACAGCGGGCCATACAAAGCTAACCTCATGAAGTGCAAAGAGCGCTGGTGTACAGTGGCCTGCAACGACCAATCAGAAGTGAGTCAGGCACCATAGCCAAGTTTACCTGTTTCTGATTGGCTCCTGTAGGCGACTCAACATCACTGCTCATTGCCCACTATTATTGAATAAGCCAAAATGAGCACATCATATTAGTCCCAGGCATGTTGTATTGTGTAATGGATTTAGGATACAGTCTGTGTATCCCGTGTAGTCAGACACACATGTAGCGGGGAAGCGCTGGTAGCTGTATACACACGTCTCAGGGTGTAGATCTGTGTGTGTTTGTGTAGGGGGAGTTGTGATGTATTTGGTTTTGTGTCTGATTGCTTATCTCTTTCTCTCTCTTTTTCCCCATGTGTTATTGTGTGCGCATGTGTGACAATTGACCCGTCATTCTGTGTTACATACAACGTGTAACTGCATTATCATTTGTCCTGAACATGACATTTTTGATTTTTTTTGCATTGTCTTGTGGCCATGCTACATGCTTTTGTTGCTATTGTGTTGTTTATCTTGTCATTGTGTTGTTTATTTGTTTTTGTTTTTATTGTGCTGCTCCATTGTTTTGCATCATTTCATGGTGTTGCCGTGTCACATCGTGTTGCTGTGTTGTGTTGTTGTGTAGCATTCTCAGCGCCTCCCCCAGCCGGGTCCAACAGGTTTGTCACAATTGGATCACGAGACAGCAACTTTCTGAACCTCCCCCAGCAGTCTCAAGTAAGTCAGCGATATTCCCTAACCTATAATTCACTATTTACTAAACACGACTTAGCCTAATATATCTAATACACTGCCCCCCCTAATTCCTAATACACCAATAATATACCATACCCCTTACCTGCAATGCCTAGAATACTAACCACAGCTGTACCTAATCTGGAGTCTAACACCCCATAGCATGTGATACTTCAGAGTAGCCCTTAAAGTGGACGAAGAGTAGCGAAGGAAGGCCTTTTGTTCTTTTTTTTTTTCTAATCATCTTTTCATCACAATCCTTCCATCCTGTATGCATGTTACCATGGCAGTTCTAGAAGTTATGCTGTGGAGGGGTTACGTTGGAATGGCACCGACGTTCTTTAACCGGCCATACGCAGTTAGAATTTCGCTTGAACGTTCGTACCAAACTCTGAAAAATTGTTCGACGGAGTTCATCAGAACATTCGATGATGCCATCATGGAGTGAACTCATCTAGATCAAAAAAATTGTTAATTAGAGCATTCCGTGAAGCCATCATTGAGTTAACTCAAGATCGAATATTTTTTAGGAAATTCTGAAAAACTGCTAGGGCATTCGAAGATGACACTGTTGAATCAACTGATTACATTTGAAACTTGGTAGGAAATTTGATCCTAGCATTGAGGCTACAAATTTTCGTAAGAATTCTGAAAAATTGTGAAAGCATTCAATGATGCCATTGTTGCATCACCTAATTTTTTTTGAATGTTCGTAGGAAATTCTGAAAAATTGTTCAATTGAGCATTCGATGATGCCATCATGGAGTCAACTAATATAGATCAAATATTCTTGGGAAATTCTGAATAAAATTGTTCATTAGAGCATTCAATTAAGTTGTTGTTGAGTCAACTAATTTAGATTGAATGTTTGTAGGAAATTCTGAAAAACTGCTAGGGCATTCAATGATGTCGGTGTTGAATCAATTAATTACATTTGAATCTTAATAGGAAATTCTGGGGAAAAAATGTTCAATAGAGCATTCAATGACTCCATTGTTGAGTCAACTAATTTCCTTAAAATTTTCATAGGAATTCTGAAAATTGTTAGAATATTCAATGATTCCATTGTTGAGTCAACTAATTTCAGTTCGAATTTTCATGAGAATTCTAAAATATTCAACTAATTTCCTTCTAATGTTCTTTGGAAATCCTGAAAAATCGTTCAATAGAGCATTCGATGATGCCAGCAATGAGGCAACTAATTTCCTTCAAATTTTTGTAGGAACTCTGAAAAATTATTAGAGCATTTGATGATGCCAGTGTTGAGTCAACTACTTACCTTCGAATTTTCATAATCTAATTTATCATTTTTCATCATCTAATTTAGATTAAATGTTTGTAGGAAATTCTAGATAACTGCTAAGGTATTCAAGGGTGCCTTTGAATCAATTAATTACATTTGAATCTTAATAGGAAATTCTGGAAAAATTGTTCAATAGAGCATTCAATGATTCCATTGTTGAGTCAACTAATTTCTTTCGAATTTTCATGAGAATTCTGAAAAATTCAACTATTTCCTTCGAATGTTCTTCGGAAATTCTGAAAACTTGTTCTTGTAAACTGAATGTTCGTAAGAATTCTAAAAGTTGTTGGAGCATTCAGTGATGCCATTGTTGAGTCAAATAATTGTGTTCAAAAGCTCTCAAAAATTGTATCCAGACCGGTTTACATGAATGGAATCCCAGAGGTATTAAACACCAGTTTCTTTTATTGCTAATGAAATCAACAAAAGAATAATGCAAAGTAAAGTTTATTTGAAAGTACTATGTATATTGCATATTTGGAATGCATGTGTATATATATCTATATATCT